CTACTCTTGTATCATTTCTTCCCGTACGTTTTATCCTATAGATTCTTGGAGTTTGGTTTGAGACGTTGTTCTATTGCTGACAAGTTGATTTTTCTTCCAATAACTCCAAGTTCACTTAGTCACCAACCGAATGACTCTCGATGACGTCACCTTGTATATCTTAAATATAGTTAGTTAGACCCAAGTTATGTCCCCTGACTCTTTGTCACTGCAAGCACGTCACCCGACTATAGGAAACAAAGTACATTGACAAAACTGTCCACCGCTCAAACGTTGTATTTATATATAGGCCCGCGGAAAACACCTACATATCTATTCCGGACTTTACTCTGTGATTTCCACTGGTGGCGTTCATAAAGATAAAGATATAACGACAAGGGGATTTATATAGGAGGTAGACAGAAGTAACTTTTGGTGATATAACTTGTGAAAGTTGGTTTTCTTCGCTACACACCGTATTGTAGAGAGAAACAGTATACAGGTAAGTCCATGTCACAGTTTATAGCTCCTCTAACTATGTGTACATTGTCCTATGTACTTTTTCTAGTGGACAAATGTTCACCTTCGTTAGTATGGCTGACTATTCTGAACGTAAATAACAACTTTTCTCCACAGTGGTTTTATTTATACCACATACACATTTGTCTTTGTGTGACAACTGTAGTAGCGGGTTCATGCCCATTGTTAAAAATGTGACGCCGATTATTTAAAATGTGCCCTTTACTAAGTCAACGAAAATTGTGAAAATTAGAAACTTACATACGGCATTTTGTCAGCATGGTTGCACAACCAGACAGTGATCGAAGATAAGTCACGGAAAAATAAATTTCTCATTTAAATTTTATGAATTATCCGATTTTTCGTGTTGCAGAATTAGGAAATTGATCATGTTATCTTCCTTGTCACGTGAAGGAGTCAAAAAGTAAATATGCATAGTATATCATCTCATTTGAAGTGTAGTTATTTTGAGATTTGCCTAATTATGTTGCGTTTCATAATAGAATCTCCTGACGCGATTATATCCACCATACGCCTATCTACCAACGAACTTCACGTACTTGCTTGAACACCTGTATTCAGGTGTCCACCCACCTCAACGTACTCAGCCACCTACATACAAACTGTCTGGCAGTCGCTGACACTCCCTTTCACCCTTGCTACCTTTCAGTAATGCTCACACACCAGTCTGTCGCTGTACCGACCGACCGAGTTACCCACCGAACCGCATACTTTCTCAGCGTCCAGTACCATCCTGCCTATCCAAATGATTATATATAAACATTGTCTGAGATATATGTATTGCATGTGCTTAGCATATAAACAGTCAGAAACATATACACCGTATGTGCTCAGCATATAAACAGTGTCAGAGGCATATACACGGTATGTGCTCAGCATATAAACAGTCAGAGGAATATACACTGTATGTGCTCAGCATATAAACAGTGTCAGAAGCATACACACTGTATGTGCTCAGCATATAAACAGTGTCAGAGGCATATACACGGTATGTGCTCAGCATATAAAAAGTCAGAGGAATATACACTGTATGTGCTCAGCATATAAACAGTGTCAGAAGCATACACACTGTATGTGCTCAGCATATAAACAGTCAGAGGAATATACACTGTATGTGCTCAGCATATAAACAGTCAGAGGAATATACACTGTATGTGCTCAGCATATAAACAGTCAGAGGCATATACACTGTATGTGCTCAGCATATAAACAGTGTCAGAAGCATACACACTGTATGTGCTCAGCATAAAAAAGTCTTAGAGACATACACACTGTATGTGCCCAGCATATAAACAGTGTTAGAGACATACACAATATGTGCTCGGAATATATATAAAACGTTCATAACTTCTATCGTAATCTGTACCTTGTCTTCTCTAATTAACGTTTATAACAATTCTATTTACCCTCAGTGTAATTCTTGGTGTCCCACCCAATGATCCAATTATATACCTCATCGTGAATACCTGTATCTGCAGTTTTACAGCGTAGGTGCGGTAACGTTACATAACAACTCCTCCATGCTTTGTTGATGAATATACTTTACAAAGAGTTTTTGATGCACACTGCTTAATTGAGCACTCCACCGATTGTTCCTCTTTCTGCTCACTAATTAGAACCTATATTACGACCACTAATGATACTACAAAATACTGCTGCTACTACTACTACTACTACTACTACACACTTTTTAGTGTAATAGCTTCTTTAAAATCTGAGAGAGAGAGAGGGAGAGAGATTCCTCAACAAGGCTATTACACCAGCTATCACTCCTACTACGATACCTGATAAGGTGATAATGATCTCCCTCTCTGGGTTAAAGGGACTTAAATTGTGTTGATTGGTTATGTTAGTCGAGGATTTTAATCTAGGGGTAAACAACTGTCGGAAACCACTTCGCATTATGTATACCGGTGAAGATTTGATATGTTTGAATGCATGTACACGTACACAAGTCGTTACTTTTACACGAATACGGCGATGCTTGCTTAAAATGCTAATTGCAAACAATGTACTATAATCGAAGTTACTTGTCCTTGCTATGCCATCGTTATTATTGGCTGCTGAACAGGATGAAATGTATATGTGACATCGGCATGTCGCTTGTCCCATCTAGTAGCAACACACACACACACACACACACACACACACACACACACACACACACATATATAGAGGACTAAAGGACATCCTAGTCAGGGCCAAGCTAACAACAATCGCTAGTCAAAACCAACCTAGTCAATCTGGACCCTGTGGCGATAAAAGATGCAAAACCTGTCAACATATGATAGAGACCAAGACATTTACTAGCACAGTGCCTAAAGAAAAACTAAACATACATGGTCCAAACAAAACGTGCAAAACAGAGAATGTGATTTATCTCATCACATGTAAGATCTGTGGCCTTCAGTACGTGGGAGAAACTGAAAAGCTACACATAAGGATAAACCTTCATAGATCTGATTGGATGACAAAAAAGCTCTACAGAAGCCCGGTCGCAGAACACTTCTCCTCCTCTGGCCACACTTTCAGTGATATAATACTTATCGCTATTGCCAACAACCACAGCTGGAGTTCCGAAACCAGGAAGGAAAAGGAATCATACTGGATACGCCGCCTTAGAACATTGAAACCAAGCGGTCTAAACCAAGAAGACTAGAAAATGAAAACTATGCACTAGTAGAATTTAACATTTTCTAAATCTTCTTATCCTTCAATTTTTTACTATAAGAATAACCGGTATAGAACCAAATATCCGGGATATAATCTGCGTTACATATGTACACAAAGTAAAAATAGATGTCGCTTTGGCTTGTAGACTTTTAGGGAATTATACAACGTTTTCAGTTTCCGCAACTAGTTTATACAAGCTGGTTGTATTTATAGTTTTAGCACATGTGAAGATAGGAATGTAGAGGTTTACAAACGCAACGTTTTTGTGTTTATTTGTTTGTCGTAACTATGTTTTGTATTTGCCTTTGAAAAAGACTCATTAAGAGTCGAAAGCGCTTAGGCTAGTTAGTTGCTAGTTTCGTACTGTTCGTCGTCAGTTTATTGCATCTATTTTAATTAATACCTGACAAACGTGATCCCTTGGTGGATCCAGTACGCTTGAGAGGGTTGTTATTCGCCATATGATTTGTATTCTTTATATATATATATATATATATATATATATATATATATATATATATATATATATATATATATATATATATATATATATATAGCAAGACTGCTGTGTACCATAAGTTGAAGTTGTGATTCGATATCACATATTGGAAATCTGTTACCATTTAATACAAAGCAATAACATGCAAGTTTTGCTTCATCTCATAATTTTAAACTGTCAGCATTTACTGCCACCCTCCCCCCAAAAGGTATGTACGTTGTGCAGCATGATCATAATCCTGTGTTGTACATTTGACGATTTTTGCATTTTTTGCCTATGTAATGGCTTCTCAAATTGATAAATGTAGTTGTTAAGGTAGTTTCTCATCGATTTTATGTTTGTGTCAGATATTGAATTGCCTATTTAAAAAAAAACAAAACAAAATGCAAGCTGTTAGATTACCTTAGATACAATGGCATTGTTCGGAGCAAATTATTAAAACACATTAAGGTATCTAGACATGGTAATAAAACATTCTAAAATTTTAAACTTTATAACAACAAACAGTTGAGTATAGGCGATAGAAAGACAATGTATATTTAAAACGGCTTCCATCACTAGCAGTTTTTTTTTTCTTTAGAATGCTTATTATTCATTGTAATATTTTAGCTACCTCTATCTGTTGTGTGAACGTGTTCGTAACTACACACATAGTTCAAAACTAATTAGCAGATTTTTTTATCATCACAATACACAAAACAGCAAGAAGTCAAATCCCTTGCTAGCGAACTGCATAGAGTATATATGTGTAGAACAGAATAACATTCTCTATCACATGGGATTATCGTGTACCTTGTCACCTTTTAGAAAACTTACAACAATTATTGAAACGAAAATATGCAAGTTTGTCAATATGTACATTTACCAATAACATAATATCTGTGCAAAATTCACCGAGCAATCACTGTGATATGCACTTAATTTAAGTAATATTTTCAACATTGTAACGTTGCCAATATTTCTGATTTTACAAATATCGTTTATTGAATTACAGACAATTGTAACAAAATCCCGTAATTTTAGCCATTTGTTTTTGGTTGTTTGTTTACATTACTTTCTGGGGCCTAGAGCGGACGAGTGGTCTAAAGCGCTCTCCGTTACGGATCCCTGCCATCTCACCTCTGCGTGAGTTCGAGTCTAAGATTCGGCGAATGTGGATATGTGAGAAAGCTTGCCAGTAGCTTCTCGTGGGTCGGTGGTTCTTTCCACAGATTTCCCGGTTTCTTCCTCCACCATTAATACTGGCCGCCATGTATCGTGTGCTGAAAAATGGCGTTAAGCCCCAGAACAATAACAACAACAACATTACTTTCTTGTTATAATAAACACTCATAATTGGTCTGCAATTGTTGTTCTTATTACATAATGAAAAGAGTGGCTTTGAGTGGTTTAAAGAGTTCACAGTTACAGATCTATGCCATCTCACCTGTCTGTTTTGGTTTGAGTCTCGAGCTCGGCCAGTGTTGGTCTGTGAGAAAGCTTTCCAGTAGCTTCTTGTGAGTCGATGTTTGTTTTTTTTTTTTTTTTCCCGGGGGTTTTCTGGGTTCTTCCTTCACCATTGATACTGGCCGCCATGTATAGCATATCTTGTACAGAAAAATGACGTTAAACCCTACAATAATAACGCGATGAAGAGTAGAGTATATAGTACGGGTTTGGATTGGCAATGCATTATTCACTGTTTTATATTTCAGTGACTATTTCTTAGACTGGCAGTAGGATTTACTGTTGTCATTTTCTGAGAATGGCCGTAGTTTATACTGTTGTTGATTTCTAAGACTGGCCGTACGGGTTTGGAATGGCCATTACACTATTCGCTGTAGTCGATTTCTGAGAATGACCGTAGCATATACCGTTGTCTATTTCTGAGACTCGGCTTAGCATTTACTTTTGTCAATTTCTGATACTGGACGTATCATATACTGTTGTCTGTTTCTGAAACTGGTCCTAGCATTTTATTGTTGTCAGTTTCTGAGACTGGCCGTAGCATTTGTTGTGTATTTCTCTGACTAACCATACCATTTCACTGCTATTTTTGTGACTGGCCATAGCAGTTACTACTGTTAATTTATGGAACTATGTAATATAAAAAGGTAGCATGGAGTCCTTTTGCATAGGAGATGTGATCTTTCTATTGTTCCAGTACAACAATCAACAATTATCATTGAATTTTCAGCAAGCAAGGAAAGTGCTATTAGTTATCAAAAAGCACTTATTGTTCTTCTTATTCCTTTACTTACTGTTACACAGTCATGCGACCGTAGCCTAGTGGTTAGAACGTCCGCCTCGGACGCGGGGGATTGCGGATCCGATCCCCGGCAGAGTCATACCAAAGACTTTTAAAATGGTATTAACAGGTACTAACAGCTGCCTTGCTAGTTGTTTAGCATATAGATGTTCGTGTTAGGACTGGTCGGACTGCTGTTAGGATAAAGTGACTGGATGGGACATGATACATGACTACAGCACGACGCCCAGTGTTGGTATAAACTGCTACACTGCTGACATCTTATCGATATGACTGAAACTTGTTAAAGCTAAGTTAAAAATCCAACACACACACACACACACACACACACACACACAGAGCCATGCATGTAACAATAAAATAATTTGCTTGTACATGAAAATTGAGCTTTAACCCATCTTCAAACTCGACTGCATCCAGCTTTATATCCTTGTCGTCTCATCTCAGAACATGACCCAAAATAGTATCATAATTAACCTGTGTTCTTAACAAAGCTCTAGATAGTCAACATTTTTAACGTACTGGAATTTTTGGTCTTTTCATTTAGACCACCGTACGATGTCATACTTTGTGGTATGCAATTTATTTGTTCTTCATATTTGACATGATGATTTCTTCTTTTTTTGGAGGGTGCACGTGATTTTCAAGCTGTAGAAGTGTTACTCTTCAAGCTATACAAATTTAATGAGAAGTGATGTGATGTGATTAAGATTTTTAACGTAGCGTTAACAATTTTTCAGTCATATCGCTACGATGTTTGCAGTGTGGCAGTTTATAGTGATGTCTAGCACTGGGGCATCATGCCGCAGACTTGTAGCATGATATCCCACCCAGTCACATTATCCTGACACCAGGCCTACCAGTTCTAACACTAACCTCTTAATGCCGAGCGTCAAAAGATGCAGCTGTTAGTACCATTTTTGTAAGTCTTTGGTTTGACTCGACCGGGGATAAAACCCACGATCTCCAGCATCCGAGGCGGACGCTCTAACCACTAGGCCACCGGAGCGGTTTTTAATGAGAAGAACCCCATCGATTCGTTATCGGAAGGTATCTCTTTATACAACAAATGGGAAGGGGCCTCGGATGGTCGAGTGGCTCGAGGCGTTCTTCTTCACTTATCTCCATCATCTCCACTGTTGGTGGAGTTCGAGTCCCAGCACCACCAAACCTGGTCGGTGGTTCTACCTCTACTATAGATACTGTTCGTCATGTATAGCCTGTCAGGTGCTGATTATGACGTTAGAACCAAAATAAAAACCAAAACAAAGAAAGGGAAGTAATTGTTGGATATTACAGTCTAGTAGGTCATTAATTTGATTTTCTACTTGCAAATTAACCATAAATTAAGTTAACATTGACACATTTGATTTGACTTGTGATAGTAATTACAGGTTGTCATTTTCTTTCGGAACTTGCATATCAGATTATTCATTTAAACACCTTAGGCGTATTAACTGCACTTGACAAAGGTATTGTCTGTCCTAGCGGTGTTTTAATTAAAGCACAGTTTCACGCCTCGCGTACCGTAAGATAGATTCTACTTAAACAACGTACGGAAGGTCATTATGACTTGGTATTCGGTGACCTGAGCATAGTACTTGTCAACTTGGCATGTATATAACTTGCAGTGAATGTACATAAATTACCATACATACACGAATAATAATAATGTGTGATCCAGATTTATTGCAACGACGACGTTGAAGGACACACGTATTTTAACATTTGACACAGTGGTGTGATGAGGATTAAACAGCAGAAGTAGATCAGGTAGGTATAAGCATTTACACGCTGACTGGTCTGCATTTACTATATGGTTCATTTTAGGCAACGTAAAAAAAGAGCATGATCCAACCAAAGCAGTAGTATTTATTCCTTTCTGGTGCATACCAATCGTCACATTTACTTGATATGTTAAATGTGAGCGACACTACTATTTGCATTTATGTTTTGATTTGACGTGCAGCATACTTGAGTTATTTATAAATATTGATTTATACTTGATAAAGGAATTGATTATGTTCATTACACAAGTTCATTTTTCAGCAACCAAACAATGCTGCGTTAGGTCAGAAATTTTTATTTATTGTAAGCAATCGTCGCACATATAAAACATCGAGGCATCCACATTTAACAAATCTGCATTATTTCCCAAAGGAGAACCGATTTTGTTTCACTTTAAAACAGATTTTTTCCAGATGAGCCTGCCAAGTGGCATCACAGACTGTGATAATTTGACAATCTGTTATGCTGAGTAAACCCGTTGTTTTTTTGTTTTGTTTTTTTTTTTGTTTTGTTTTGTTTTTTTTGGGGGGGGGGAATGTAAAATATAGGCTGTGATTCTGATTTAGTTTTGTTGATGTTAGCTTTGATTCAGTCTTGTCTAGATTAATTGCAAGCAATGCCTGCACCATTTGTGTCAGTCTTTTCAACGTCTATGTTCAATGTTTTACCATCAAAAATTAATTATCTTCATAATATTGTATCACCGTAATAATATAATTGATGATTATTAATTATAAGAAAATATAAATAAACAAAAAATCTAAATTGGACTCGTATTAGCGCGACATTGTAGCTTTTGCCGCCCCTATGCTCATTCTGAAGTGCCACTCCCTCAGAGAGACGAGGGGTGGTAGGTACAGAAGGGTCACAAATCTTATTTTCAGCAACTGAATTATTAGTGTTTTTTGTGTGTGTTTTTTTTTTTTTGTTTGTTGTTGTTTTTGTTTTTTTTATATATATAAAATTTTGACGGTTTCCGTTTTTTGCTATGGATTGGTTTGGGGGTTGGTGGCGGGTCTTCAGATCAGCGATAATTTTGCCAACAGGTAAAACCTGAAAAAATGCCGTCATTGGCTAGACCTTTGTCGGCCTGTGTGGAATTGTATCAGACACAATATGGACGCCAGCATTTACATGTTGGGAATCTGAGGATTAGAATTTATAAGTTGTTGTTACTTTCAGACCAACGTAATTTTCCCCTAAATACCAGTATTGTTTAGATTATAAGAAATCCTTATTACCTAACTCGGTCGAAAGCTTTTTCTATTACCAAAGAATTTCTATTACCAAAGAACGGGGTCCTAACTAACTTGCCTTGCGCTACGTAGAACATAGCATTGTACATGTTTACTGGTGTGTTGTCTACTCGCCGGGTGGAAAACGGGTTTGATTATGTGAAATATGTTTAACAGCAATGTTAGCTATAGTAGAACCTAAAGATCTGAGACAATAATTTGACGCAAGAGGTTTTTACAGACACATGGAGAACTCCCACCAATATGTATGTATGTATGTATGTATGTATGTATGTATGTATGTATGTATGTATGTATGTATGTATGTATGTATGTATGTATGTATGTATGTATGTGTGTGTGTGTGCGTGTGTGTGTGTTCGATGGGGTTGTTTTTGGTCGAAAATCCAGTTTGTATTTAAAAAAAAGAACGGTCTTCCTTTAATTCATATTTTTGTTTTAATTGGATTTATAAATGTGATTTCTCAACGTCAACACGAAGACCCACACAATGACCTTCTTGAACTTGTAACCAAGACAAATCTATTTAATACTTATCTTTTAGAATCATCCAAGATAAATAAATTATTTTTAATATAGAAATGTTTAACAAAGAACTGTATCTTATTCCAAGTTTCTAATTTTTCAAGAAGTTGTCCCACGCCTACTTTATGGTCGGCTAATTGTCAACTTGCTACTCGAGCGATATTGTCAAGAAATTCCCGGGTGTATATTCTGTTTCATATTTGCAGTATATTTTTGGCAAAAAAAGACGTTGTAAACACATTTTACGCTATTCGTCGTTGGTTCTAGTCAACTTAATTGCTTATTAAATTTATAAAATGTTGAATGTTTCAATTTTTGTACAAATTGTTTGTCATCTAATGTCATTGTTTCATTGTTGTTTCTAACAAAAATAACCATAAACCTGACCTAGTTCTTCGTTTAAATGCTGAAAGAACCAGTCAAAAAAATATATTCCATTTCCATTGCACCGATGCATAAACATTTCATCTTTTCAAAGACATACGCATGCGACAAAACCGAAGTCAGGAAAACACATGGGCAGTATTCCGGGTGTCCAGAATAAGTATTATTTTAAACCGTAAGCATGGTTGTTTTTATTTCAGTTAATTCTTAGTAAAAGTTAATTAGGGCATTATCCGTTTTTGTTTTTTGTTTTTTGTTTTTTGCACCTCACTAAGCATTTGACAGCTAATTGGGAGGAAGTGCTGATGCACGTCAGTGAAGACGGGTCTTACTAGACACTACAAAGTCAGGCATAGTCTTTTTTTTTTAGTTTTATTTGTACATATTAACTTTATTTTGACAATATTGTAATTAAAATTGTTGAAACAAATGTTTTAATGTTAGTTGAAAGTAAAATTGGTACATACACAACCTTAGTTGTCTAAACTTTCTTCGCGATATGATATATGCCAACAATTGTTAATAACAGTTCATTAACTAGTTGTTTAAAAATAGTTAAATTATTATACTGCATAAGTATATTATAAATATTTAATAGAACAATGGCAGATATAAAATGACAGTCATGTAACCCGCGAATGACAAAAGCAAAGCCAGTGTGACAAAGCCAGCTTAAATAATTTATTTAAAAATATCTGGAGACTACTACTACTACTACTACTACTACTACTACTACTACTACTACTACTAATAATAATAATAATAATAATAATAATAATAATAATATGTTCCGTAAGTTTAATATAAGTATATGTAAAAAAAACAGTTATGTATTTAATAATGATATCAGTACTAACAAAGGCAGATATAACGATCACGTATGACAGGCAGATTTTATACTACAGTCAAGTCGTCTATATATAATTTTCGGCACATTTGAAATAAAGGGACACAACTATGTTTACCGGTTTTACCAATATATATTATACCAACATTAAAACACGCTTGTTTTAAATACAATGTTAAAAAAGTTTAATCTAGTACAAATCATACAAATATATAAAAGTTAAACTAAAATAGACTTTGTCTGACTTTGCATGAAATCGCGGTGTTTAGTGGGACCGAG